TTTTATTAGGATTTTCTTTTTGATTGTGGTTGTAGGTACGTTGATTCGATTTACTTACGATGTTTTTTATAAATAAAGATACTAAGTTTCTAAGATTCTGAGATTCTAAGCTAATTTTTAGGATATATTATTTTTAATTGTTTAAATTTTGAGATAATTAAATTCTAAAAAAAAACTTAGAATCTTAACGACTTTGTAACTTAGCAACTTTCTCGAAAAAGCCAATTGTTTCTAATTTAGCCCCGATAGAGACGGTATCCTCGCAGTGAAACGGAGAGATATAGCCGAAAGCGGGAACTATATTTATTAAAAAAGCCTATTGTTCTGCTTCTAAAAAAGGATTAGAAACTTATAATCTTAGAAACTTAGTATCTTAAAAAAAGGTAGTAGCTTATTCAATCATTAATTCTTATTTTTGCATCATATGGAGAAGAATTTCATGCAAAAGTACATTGACCAGCTCAATGAGGCACAACGACAACCCGTTCTAAAAAAAGACGGGCCAATGATTATTATTGCTGGAGCGGGTTCTGGGAAAACCCGTGTTTTAACTATTAGAATTGCTTACTTGATGGCGCAGGGTATTGACGCTTTCAATATTTTGTCGCTTACGTTTACGAACAAAGCTGCTCGTGAAATGAAGCACAGGATTTCGGATATTGTGGGAGCATCTGAAGCAAAAAATCTTTGGATGGGAACTTTTCACTCGATCTTTGCCCGTATTCTTCGTGCGGAGTCGGATCATTTAGGTTATCCATCGAATTTTACCATTTATGATTCTCAGGATTCAGCGAGATTAATTTCTTCGATTATCAAAGAAATGCAGCTGGATCGTGATGTTTATAAACCAAAACAAATATTAGGACGTATATCTAATTATAAAAATAGTTTGATTACGGTAAAAGCCTATTTCAATAATCCTGAACTGGTAGAGGCTGATGCAATGGCCAAAAGACCTCGTTTGGGAGAAATTTATCAACAATACGTAGAGCGTTGTTTTAAAGCAGGAGCGATGGATTTTGATGATTTGTTGTTGAAAACCAATGAGTTATTGACCCGTTTTCCGGAGGTTTTAGCCAAATATCAGAATCGTTTTCGTTACATATTGGTGGATGAGTACCAGGATACGAATCATTCTCAGTATTTGATTGTTAGGGCTTTATCAGATAAGTTTCAGAATATTTGTGTGGTTGGTGATGATGCGCAGAGTATTTATGCTTTCCGTGGGGCGAATATTAATAATATTTTGAATTTCCAGAAAGATTATGAAGGCGTAATAATGTTTCGTTTAGAGCAAAATTACCGTTCGACGAGAAATATTGTTGAAGCGGCGAATACTGTAATGGAACATAATAAAACGAAACTGGATAAGGTAGTTTGGACTGCGAATGATTTTGGCTCAAAAATTAAAATACATCGTAGTTTAACAGATGCTGAAGAAGGACGTTTTGTAGCAAGTACCATTTTTGAACAAAAAATGCAAAATCAATTGCATAATGGTGCATTTGCGATTTTGTATCGTACGAATGCTCAGTCGCGTGCAATGGAGGATGCTTTGCGTAAGAGAGATATTCCGTATCGTATTTATGGTGGATTGTCGTTCTACCAACGTAAGGAGATTAAAGATGTTTTGTGTTATTTGCGTTTGGTAATTAACCCAAAAGATGAAGAAGCGCTGGTTCGTGTAATTAATTATCCGGCTCGTGGAATTGGTGATACAACGGTTGAGAAGTTGACTATCGCCGCGAATCATTATAAGCGTTCGATTTGGGAAGTGATGGTGAATATTGATAAAATCGACTTGAAACTGAACACAGGAACAAAGAACAAAATCAATGATTTTGTGACAATGATACAGAGTTTTCAGGTTATTGATCAAAATCAGGATGCTTTTTATATTACTGATTATGTGACTAAGAAAACCGGTCTTGTTCAGGAATTAAAGAAAGATGCTACTCCTGAAGGAATGGCAAAGATTCAGAATATCGAAGAACTTTTAAACGGTTTAAAAGATTTTACCGAAGGACAAAAAGAAATTGATGGCGCAAGAGGAGCTTTGTCTGAATTTATGGAAGATGTAGCGCTTGCAACTGATTTAGATAAAGACACATCTGATGAAGATCGTGTGGCATTAATGACGATTCACTTAGCAAAAGGATTGGAATTTCCTCATGTTTTTGTGGTAGGAATGGAGGAAGATTTGTTTCCGAGTGCGATGAGTATGAGCACAAGAAGCGAACTAGAAGAAGAACGTCGATTATTTTACGTAGCTTTAACTCGTGCAGAGCATCATGCTTATTTAACATATGCACAATCGCGTTACCGTTGGGGGAAACTGACAGATAGCGAACCATCGCGTTTTATTGAAGAAATCGACGCACAATACTTGGAATATTTAACTCCGGCAGAAACGAATTACCGATATAAATCACCTATCGATGGGGATATTTTTGGAGATGTCGACAAATCTAAATTAAGACTGGCAAAACCAATTGGATCTACGCCACCAAAACATGTTACGAATAATCAGCCAAAGCCTGATTTGAATATTCGTAAATTAAAGCCCATGACAGGAACGAATCCTAATAGTGCTGCGCCGAATTTATTTGATAATAAGCTAACTATTGGAAATGTTGTAATGCACGAACGTTTCGGTAAAGGTGAAGTCGTAAATTTAGAAGGTGTTGGTGCTGATAAAAAAGCAGAAATAAAATTTGAAGTTGGAGGTATCAAGAAATTGTTGCTAAGATTTGCTAAATTAGATGTGGTAGGGTAGGAAAGAATATAGAAAAAGAGGATAGAAAATAGATTTTTAAAAGTCAATTTTTTATCACCGGATTTGATTTTCGACCTTCATAATTTTGATAATTTTCAAGAGAATAAGTATCTTTTTAATTTAAGATAAATCTATTTTAAGTTGGAATGTTATTATTACTTAAAAAAAATAAAAGGAGTAAAGAGTAGTCTTTATTCTATAATCTAACATCTTTATTCTAAAAAATGGCTGAGTTCATAAAAATATATCCGGATAAACCTAGTGAAGCTGCAATTGCCAAGGTGGTAAAAGTGCTTCAGAACGGGGGTTTAGTAATTTATCCAACAGATACCGTTTATGGTTTAGGTTGCGATATTACCAATTCGCGGGCTTTAGAAAAAATTGCCAAAATAAAAGGAGTTAAGCTTGAAAAAGCTAATTTCTCCTTCATCTGTCATGATTTGAGTAATCTTTCAGATTATGTTCGTCAGATTGATACGTCTACTTTTAAAATTTTAAAAAGAGCGTTGCCTGGTCCTTATACTTTTATTTTACCTGGAAACAATAATCTGCCTAAAGAATTTAAAAAGAAAACTACGGTAGGTATTCGTGTTCCTGATAATAATATTGCTTTAGAAATTGTTCGCCAATTAGGAAACCCTATTGTGTCGACTTCTATTCGTGATGAAGATGATGTAATCGAGTATACGACAGATCCGGAATTGATTTTTGAGAAATGGCAAAACCTTGTTGATCTTGTTATTGATGGAGGTTACGGTGATAATGTTGGTTCGACAATTATTGACTTATCAGAAGGCGAACCGGTTGTTGTTAGGGAAGGAAAAGGAGATATAGATATATTGTAAGAATAATTCAATAAATA